AAAAAAAAAAAAAAAAGGTGGATCCTTAATGCACTGCCCCACCTCTCCTACAACCTCAGCCACATGGAAGAGCATCTTGAAGTGTAAAAATATTTTGCAACTAGGCTTGGGGTGGAGAGTGGGTGATGGGCAACAAATCAAATTTTGGCAAGACATCTGCGTCGGTGATAAGCCTTTGTATGAGGTGGCTCTTTCCCCTGTCTTACCTACCTCTATAGACCTCTCTGTTTCATATGCTATCACCCCATCTGGAGACTGGAATACATCTTGGCTTGGACATCTACTTCCTGATCATGTAGGGGCTCAGATTTTAGTAACCCCAATCCCAGCTTTTGGACAGCAATCAGACAAAGTATTTTGGTCTAGATCGCTCGATGGTTCTTTCTCTGTTAAGTCGGCTTTTCATCTTTTACAGCAGCAGCATGTTAGCTCAACCCAGCAAGGGGAGAACTGGTGGTGGATATGGAAGCTAAAGTGTACAGAGAGAATAAAGATGTTTGTTTGGCTCCTTCGGAAAAACAGAGTGCTCACAAACAGTGTACGCTTCGCGAGACACTTTGCTGCATCTCCAATTTGTTCGAGATGTGAACAAAGCCCAGAGACTTCGCTCCACCTTTTACGTGATTGTTATCACTCCCGTTTGATTTGGGAGTCATCTACTACGCTCTTGGCTGACTTTTTCATGCTAAATTTTGAAGAATGGTTAAGGAAGAATGCACAAGCTCCAATGTCCAGTGGTGGCCCGTCCCAAAATTGGCCTACTCTTTTTTTATCTACTATTTGGGTGATCTAGAAGAGTAGGAATGCACTCATTTTCAACAATAAAAGGACCCCTCCCCATGTTCTGTTTCAGCAAGCTTCCTCCCTAGCAAGAGATACAAACTTGGTGTTGGCCACTAACATTCTCTCATCTCCCCGTGTACCACGATGGGTACGTTGGTTCCCACCGGATTTCCCTTTCTTCAAACTGAACACGGATGGGGCGATGAATCACTCCACAGGTCAAGCTAGTGCAGGTGGTCTCATTCGGGACCATGGAGGGAGGTGGATACATGGGTTTGCAGTTAACATTGGGCCACAATCTAGCTCTATGGCAGAGCTCTGGGGCTGTCGTGCTGGTCTTCGACTAGCTCTTGAGCTGGGTCTTACTCACTTGGTACTGGAAATGGACTCTCTCATGGCTGTGCCGATGATACTGGCAAGGAAAGCTGGTGGCGGTCCAGCTTCTGTACTGTTGTTGGATATATTTCATTTGGCAAGCTCCTTCGAGGTTTGCACAGTCCAGCACACGCTGCGGGAAGGAAACTCAGCAGCTGACTTTATGGCATCTGTTGGCCATAGCCTTAATCAAGGCATCACCTTCTTCCAGACTCCACCTCCGGGCATTCAAAGTATTCTCCGCGGAGACAGCATTGGGTCATTAATATTCCTTAGGATTTAGTGTTGTTTAGCTTCTTATGTACCAAATATATATATATGTACATTTTTAAAAATGTATGTATATAAATAAATTTAATAAATTAATCGATAAAAAGATAAAAAAAAATGTTTTTTAGTTAAATGACTAAAAAAGTACAAAAAGGTTAAGTAACAAAAATTATAAAAAAAACTAAGTTAAAAGATTAAAATTGACATTGAACGTTTCAAAAACTGATTTTTACTGACGTGGCGCGTAGAAAATGGCTAGAAGGTAAATGATAAGGAGTAAAGAAGAAAAACGATGGAGCTTGACTATGGGGTGAGCTTTGGGTTCAAACATTGTAATTTGTAAATGCTTTAATGGGCCCAATTACTGGAAAGGAACATGAAAACGATAACAAATTCACAAATCTAGTGAGAGATTCAAACAATGTTACGAAGACCCATTTTTTAAACGATTTTGATTGGTCCATGTTTTGGAATAATCTCATGATTAGTCCTTCAACTTATTTCTTGGCTGAATTTAATCTTTGCTTTGTTATCACTTTCATTTAGAAAATTTACTTTCTCCCTAATTGATTTAAGAGCTTTAAAATACGTACTAAATTAGTCTTAACGTCACTTTAGAATGCTGTAGTTTTACTTTTATATTCTTCTTAATTTACGAATTTTCTTATTTGTGGAAAAATGAGTTCAAATAGAGCTCCTTATATTTGAGTAACGTTACACATGGTTGTCAAAATCGAGTTTTACATCGTAAAATCGTATTTTTTATGATTTTAGGTATGTATTTCGAGTAAAATCTATGTTAAAATCGGAGTCCCGTGAAATTGGAAGGAAAAATCGTAAAATCTCAATTTTATGGTAAAATCGTTTGAAATCTCGATTTTACATGGAGTGGAGGAATCACCCTGATGGTTGGTCGGTTGCTGTGAGACGAAGGAGATGACTTGCGACTATTGTTAGGTGAAGGAGAGCATATCGATGATGAGGAACGAGTGATGAGAATGGTGATCGGTGACGAAGGGGGGGGGGGAACTGATGCTCGGAGAAAATGGAGAAAGACAAATTTGAATGGGAGAAGAATCAGGTGATGACCGGTGATGGAGATGGAGGCTGTTGATCGAAGAAAAAAATGGAGAAAGGGGATTCTAGATGGAAGAAGAATCGGGCTTTCTTTTTTCTTTTTTCT